AACCCTAAACCCTAAACCCAACATGACGTGTCAGGCTCAGCTCGATGCGCTGCAGCGGCGGTTTGAGGCAGCAGCTGTTGGATTCGGCGGGCGGCGAAGGATTTCGGGTTTCGGGGTATAGGGTTTAGGGTATAGGGTTTAGGGTTTAGGGTTTAGGGTTTAGGGATGGTTTAGGGTTTAGGACTTTTAAGTTTTACCTGGAGGTTCAGGGGGAGTTATGAGTGGGGTTCTAAGTCCCATTCTAGGGTTATAATGAATTATAGTTACCCTACTTATCACCCTACTTATAACTACCCATGAACCTCCAAGTAGGGTTATAACTGAAAGCCCCACCGTCTCGGGTTTGGCGGGTTTGGGGTTTGGCGGTTTTTTTGCGCGGGTTTGATCAGATTTCATCAGAGCGATCCGGATATCCTTGAAATGCACCAGGCTCTATACTCGAAAAGACCTTAACCCGAAGCTTTAAAACCGTAAAACCCCAAGTTGAGTTTCGAGACCTGATTCTGCAGCCCGGGAATGGCAGAATCCTGTTGGTACGAATCTGAAGGCACAGCCAGTACCTGCCGCATCGTCTGCACCGGGCAAGAACGACGAAACGGGACAGTGGGGTGGACGGGGGGCTCACCGTCGAGGGCTTCGTTTGGTTTCCCGGGGATGAAAGGTTTGTCTGAGACTGTCTGAATTTTGATGTGAGCCGCATGCGCAGCCTTTCCTTTCGGGTTTCACAGTGATCGTTCCATTGTGAAGTGAAAGGCTCGTCTGTGTTGAAGTGTCCATGCAGTGCAAGCATGTGCTGTTCCAGGAATACTACCGGCCGCAGAGGGTGCCAGCGATCCTCACGCTCAGGCTGGGAAGTTGGGGGTAAGTTTAGGCCTGTTTCTAAGCTTGATGCGTTTCGATCAGCTCTGGTTCACTCCGGAGCTTGGCATGTAGTGCCGCAGGGCCGATCGTGCGTTGGATTGAGCAGAGCACGGCGAGCTGGCTTCTGTTGGATGCTAATGAAGGTCTCAGCAGCTGACAGTGACGCGAGGCACACATGGGAGGGGTATTTTGCAATGTCTTTGACAAGTGCACAATTCCAGAAGGGATTTAAGTCGCATACTCTTGCGGCACCATGAACCAGACACCCTACTTCAAAACACCTAGATCTGAAGCCCTTTCGGCAGCAAGAGCCGTTTTGTATGGTTTTCGATGGAGGCTAAAATCTAAACTCCGAGACCCCAAAACCGTACCGCACTGCATCGAACGGCTGGCGCCGAATCGGATCTTCCAACTTTGAGCTTTTGCCACACAAGGCTTTCTTAGGGTTGAGGTTTAGGGTTTAGGGTTTAGGGTTTAGGGTTTAGGGGTTTAGGGTCCCTCACTCGCCGCAAGACCACGCTCTTTCCCGTTTGACTGTTTGTAGGCTGTCTTCATCCCAAACACGCCCCCCTCCCCCCTCTCCCCTCCCCTTTGCATTCAGCGTATCCATCCTCGGACCTTGAAAAAGGGATGGCAGCAGAAATGCTACCAACTTCGGCCCCGGAGCACTCGGGAATTGGATGGGTTTCTGTTTGGGATTGCGTGGCTTGCAAAGTTGTTTCGTTGTGGGTGCTGGAAATTTGGACGCACATCTTCCAACTTTCCGGCTTTCACCATAACCCTTACGTGTAGCAGCCCTGCAAAAGTCTGGTTTCTGGCTGAATCAAAGCAGATTGAGAACCTGTGCGCATCGCAAAAACAGAGGGGAAGTAAGTTCTTCGGTTTTAGGCCTGTGCAATATAGGGGAGCCCCAGCGTAGCTCGACTTTTTGGTAGATCTTAATGACAGCAGTGTTTAATAAGAACAGTGATGATGCTCATGATAAGAATACCCTACACCCTAAACCCCAACCCTAAACCCTAAACCACAATCATACATCCGTAGATCTTTGTGCCAGCCTGAAATCTCGCAGCATTCAGGGTCCGAAACAGCGAAATAAAGCCTAACACCCTAAGGCTCTGAGCCCTAAAGTCCCAGACCCCTAAACCCTGGGTTTAGGGTTTAGGGTTTAGGGTTTAGGGTTTAGGGAACCACGGAGAACCCTTTCAGGTTTTAACTCATGCAGGAACGGGTGATCGGGTGAGGGTTTAAAGCACCTGGTGGGGTTGCAGGGCCGGCGAGGCTCTCCAACGGGCGGCAGAGGCGGGTCGTGGTCATGCGACGTTTGGGTACGTTGGCTGCGACATGTTTCCTTGTGGTTTGATGTTTTGACTTACGGTGACTTACGAGTGTTTGTCGCTGCGTCATGTTTCTCCCCTTCATGTAGGTTTGTCAGACACTCTGTTGACCGAGTACCGATTGCGCAGATTGGCTTGCTGTTGCTTCGGGTGGATGTTCATCTCGGCACATGGAAGAGGTAGAGCGGTCAATGCATGCACAAACAGTCTGATCGCCCACGTCTCTGTCGTTCCCTCCCTCACTCACTCACTCACTCACTCATTCCCTCGCTCATTCTCTCACTCTCAGTCACACTCTTACTCTCATTTATTCTCGCACCCACCTTCACTCACTCACTCACTCACTCACTCACTCACTCACTCACTCCCTCGCTCGCTCACTCACTCACTCACTCACTCACTCTAAGAATTGTTTCTTCGACTCTCAAGCTTCTGGCAGCGGAAGAGGCAGAGAAGCGGGTCCTCAAACTGGCCGAGGAGGCACCTCCGCGAAGTTGTGATGTCGCTCCTTCTGTCACTTCTTGCCCTAACTGGCTCTCGCTCTCAGTCTGAGTCTCTCGCTGTCTCAGGCGATCTTCTGTTCTACACGTTCTATCTATCTATCTATCTATCTATTTATCTATATATATATATATATAGGGTCGTGGATCGAGCGCATGCAACAGCGCATTGCCGCAGGCCCCTAGAAGTGCCAAGGCACACCTGAGCCATTGTGAAGTCGCCCCGGTGGCATCGCCGCGCGCGTGCTAAGCGCTCGCTGGACCGTCTCCGAGTCCACAGCGCACGAGCGCAGGGACGCCTACCTCCGCTGCAGTCGCTGCTGCGACTTGCAGCACATCACTCTAGACCACGATACCGCGAACT